AGTGGATCGCAAGATATCGTCGAAAAACATAAGTGCGCCACAATACCCCCCGCGCCATAATACCCATGGTTCCCTTATATTTACTATCTGGGTTAAGTTTTTTTTAAAAATTTTTATATGCTTTTTTATATAAAATTGTTGGAAAATAAAAATAAAAGCCGGGTTGCATGAGAACCCAAAAAATTAACTTTGTATGGCCTTATTTAAAATTTCAAGCTTCAATTGTTTCAAGCTTCAGCCGCGACAATTAATAAAGGCCTATTATTGATTTTTATAATATATTATAGTTTTTGAATAATTTAGATGGGATCAATTAGGGACCTAATAGTGTGGAGGAAATTTAATCGATCGGTCCTTAATCGGTCTCATTTAAAATCAATAAGCCTATATTAATTATAGTTATAAAAAATAAATTTCTGTAACTTTACAGTTAAAAGTGACAATTTTTTACAAAACTTGTTCAAGATCGGCTCACAATTGCTGTGGGACTGATTAACATTCCTAGAACAGTTTCACGTTGGAATGGAAGTTCCAATGACTTCCAATGACTTCTGATTGGTCAATTCGAATCAGTAGTTTAGGTACAGTAATTTGTTTATAGTGAATCCAGCGTTATCACTAATCGAGGAAACAGTCACATAAACCCAAACTTAACATAACTATATCGCTTTGACTATAAATTATTGTAATCTATTTCACGCTCCTTAATTGTATTTCTTATTATATAGTATTTTCTATATACGTATATTATATTAATAAATCAAAACCTCTTAAAGTATTGTTTTTAAAAGGTAAAGATAAAATATTGTAGTGACTGCCTAGTGATGGGACCTCTCGAATTATTAATAATTAATAATGAATTATATATTAACAATTGGCCGATTAACTAAAAACTACTTAGTAATGTGTGGCACGGTAAACCGATTAAAAACTATAAAAAATAGCACTTCCATATAATCACACTACAAAAGTGTTCTTATATAGAAAATATATAATGTGCTTATATTGGAGGTGTTTATATGAGATTGTGACTGTAATATTAATCGTATTTAATACGTATCGGTATTCAGTTTTTAATGTGATTACATAGGAATTATTAATAATGAACGAAACTATTAATCATTACTAACTATTAATAATTAATAATTAAATTTTTATTATTAACTAAAAGCTCTAAGGTCCTATCACTGGTTTAAAGTAAGGGTTAGCATTAAAATAGGGTTAGCATTAAAATAGGGTTAGTATTAGCAAAGAACATCCCTCTCGCTATACCGAAATTTTGCAAGGAATTTTTTTTTATTACGATCTGATTGATTGTTTTTAAACTTTAGAACATCAGCAATATTTGGACATGGACTAATCCAAATAGTGTCCATGTCATATTTGTATATTGATCAATGTAAGTATCCTGATGTAGTGATGGATTTCGCCATAGAATAAAGGTGATCAATTATGGTTCACTCATGTCTTCTTTGTCAAAATCTTTCGAGATGTCGCCCGTATTTTACGTTCAATGACTTTCTATTAAGAATATTCGAAATCGTAAACATTTGGACTATGTCCAATAGTAAGCATTTGGACTAAATGTCTATGTCCAATAGTAAACATTTGGACTAAGTGTCTATGCTCAATAAAAAAAATATGGACATAATCCATGTCCATTGGTCCATATTTTGTCCATGTCCTGCCAACGCTGGCAAATAGGCAACAAAGGTTTTTTCTTACGTGTTTTAGTTTACATATTTACGTAACGGTAACATTGATAATATTGACCATAACGATAATGGAATGTTGGGCAACTAAATCATGTGATAATAAAATGTAATATTATTTAAGGCAATTCTTAATTTAATCATACGTAATATGATTCTTTTTTAAAAACAACCAAAACCGAATATGAATTTATCATCAATAAGATGCTCTTTAACTTTTCTATGTGCGCGCGTTGCTGTAATACTTTTATTAATTATTTTTATATTATTGTTGAAGCGCATAACATTAGACCCTCGAAAAAGTTTTTTTGATAGAGAGTGGATTAATCCAAACAAAGACCTAACATTATTTTATAATACTACAAGAGCGAATGCTGCGGTCGTAGTATTGGTTAGAAATTTAGAGTTATACCAATTATTGGAATCAATAAGACAACTTGAGGACCGATGGAATAAAAAATATAATTATCCGTATGTATTTCTAAATGATGTAGATTTTACCGAAGAGTTTAAAATTAGAACATCAGCATTGACAAAATCAAAAACATATTATGGTAAATGCTTATATATTATTTATTAATTAGTAATAGAATTTGGAACCTGCTTTTGTTTTTGAATTCGAATTTATTAATTAGTATTAAATTGAAATCTAACGATAGTATGTACGTACGTACGTACATACATACATACATCGGTGACAAAAATATTCAATCATCTAAGAACAAAAATTATCATTATAGAAATTCCATAGGTGGTCGAATACTTTTGTTCTCTATGCATTTATACAGATAATATAGATTCAATAGATTCGGTTTTATATCCGAATTTAAATCGAATCCGGTTCCAAACTCTAATTAGTAATATGTTAATAATTTTTTATTTTTTATTGAAGGAAAAATTCCAGAACATATGTGGAGTTATCCGTCATGGATAAATCAAACAAAAGCTGCTGAAAGTCGTTCAGAAATGTCATCAAAAGGTGTAATATATGGTGGATCAGAATCATATCGGCATATGTGTAGATTCAATTCAGGATTTTTCTTTCAACATCAACTGTTATTACCTTTTGATTATTATTGGAGATTAGAACCTTCTGTTAAATTTATGTGCGACATCGATTATGATCCATTTTTATTTATGCAAAAGAACAAATTAGTTTATGGATTTACTATTAGTTTAAAGGAATATGAATCTACCATTCCTACACTTTGGGATGCCGTAAAACAATTTATAAAAGAATATCCACATCATATTAAGGAGAATAATATAATGAAATTCATTAGTAATGATAATGGAGAAACTTACAATCTGTAAGTAATGAACAAAAACAAATTAATTATTAAAATGAAATATTAATTATCATCTGCCTCATATCTGTGACAAAAGATGTCACTTTTGGAGTAACTTTGAAATTGGTGATTTAAATTTTTGGAGAAGTGACCCGTACCGAGATTTTTTTAATCATTTAGACAAGTTAGGAGGATTTTTCTATGAACGGTATGGCAAAATTTTATTTTTTAATTAACATATTTCAATTGTAATTGATGGTAAAATTAATTTACTAAATTTTGCATTGGTAATGCTATATTGACTGCCACAATACAATTCAATTTAATAATTTTTCCATCAATTATATATTCGCAATGCTTCATTAATACGACAATCTTTATGTTAAAAAAAGTTGGGGAGATGCGCCGGTTCATTCAATAGCCGTGGCGTTGTTTGCTCAAAAATCAAAAGTCCATTTTTTCAACGATATAGCATATTATCATCTACCATTTCATCACTGTCCGATGGAAAATGGATATCATGATACTGGAAGATGTCATTGTGATCCGAGAGAAAACTTTGGTATATTCTTATTAATTAATTAATTAAGAATCTGTTTCTTTCAATATATTGATGATTATTCATTTAAAAAATTAAACAGACATGGATTGGTATTCTTGTACTCCAAAGTGGTTTGTTATATAGATTATTGTTGCTTTGACTCGGGTGTTTTCTGGTTTATCACATAGTGAAAAATATTATAAATATACATACATATATTACTTATAGCCAATCGGGTTTAAATTCAGGGTCATATGGTACATGTTCTGAAAATATTTCAATAAACTAAAATTATGCAAGCATTAAAATTTTTGAAATAGAGCTTTTTAATTTGACATGTATAATCAAAAAAGAAATTTACTTCTTGATCCGCTAGAACTTTTGTAACGGCAAATCGTCGATATTCATGAAAAATCGAAGTCAGCGACCATTTTTGTAACTTACGAAGGCAACCTACTAAACAGCCTATTCTATGCTATTTTATTATAGACACATTATAGATATTTAAAGTTAGTAAGTCTAATTACAGATAAGAAAGTAATAATACACACCCACCTTTCCTTTATTACAATGTATCAATACTGAAAAGAACAAACACAAGTTTTCATAGGTGTATTAATAACAAAAAGATCTACTAATATTAATTTATGTAAAATACCTGGATGATTTCTTATGTCTATATATACAAAACAATTTTAATAGAATGCAAAGTGAAAATATTTTAAGTTAAATCTTAATTTACCTAAAACTTTAACTAAAGCATTGCTAATTTCTTTTTGCTCGATTTCAATAAATGGTTCCTGATAAGTAACTTGAGCGTAAATAATCGTAATAGAAAAAAAAATTTTAACCCGTTAAGTATTTAATACCTTATTTCCGTCAATTCTATAATGAAAAACCTGGATATTTTGATCTTTCACAAATTGACTCAGTTCTTCGTTAAAGTCATCTGATGAAAGGTATCTGTTTATTCGTTCGCAATGTAATGAATGTAATTAAAATTTGGAGTTTTTGTTATTTATTTATTTATTGCATATATGAAATTGAGTCTAACATTATACTTTTCAATTTTAATTTTTTTAAGAAGGGAAAATTTTTACGATTTGGATGCCCAGAGCGATAAACACCTGGTGCTACCATTGCAAAATTCAAAGGCGGCACCATGACTTTAACTTCTTCGTCAAGGCTGTTGGGTGGTTTATGTGTTAAAGTATTATTAACATTAGATGAAGGTTCTAATGCCATTTTGAAAGAAAGACAAATGCTAAGAAAGTTTGGTTAATCCATCTCGTTTATCGTTATATAAATTCAATTTAAATATCACGTCTGTGATGTATTATACCTTGTACGTACGTACGTAGTCGGTTTATCAAAAAATATTTGCCTAGCATTAGTCGAAACATCTCTGAATACATTCGCATGTTAGATCTACCTGTCGTTACAATACTTATATCGAAAATTTGGTTTAGCCAATTTTTGTCATAATTAACAAATTAATTATTCATTTTACGTGAAAAACGTTATGACTCTAAACACCAAAGATGTCTAATATTATAATATTATAGGAGAAAAGGTAGATAATCAATATAGAAGGTTCAAATATAATTATATCTTATTGAAATTTAATACAAAGATACCTAGTTATAAGTATGTAACGTTGAATCAATAAGCACTTTCTTTCTCATAGAGCCTTTATATAAATCCTAAATCTAAAACGATGAATATGAAGCCAGTATATAGTTTCAAATATATTCTCCTTTTGTCTCAACTAGAGATAGGAATCGGCTATATGATTTAGTCGACTAAATCGACTAAACATAGCAATTTACATATAAATTTTTTAGTCGACTAAATCGATCCCTATCCCTAAGTCTCAACATTTAAGGCGAAAATTAGGTTTTTAACCTTCGGAGAAAAGTCACCAATTTTAATGCATCAATTTTTGATGAGATATTGTATTTAATTAATTTCATTTGGATTTTCATTTATTAGATTTCCGAGTGGAAAATATGCATCTCTTTCTAAATAACTTGTTAAGAGTGTGACCTTACGTCTCCACAACGATTTGTGGTTTTTTGAGCTCAATTTTTGATTTTTCTGTCATTTATGCGATTATAATTGTTTTCAAGAAAATACAGTAAAAATAAAAAAGATTAAGGATCTTTATATACCTTTTTTTTTTAAAGTTGTTTTGAGATCTGCAATGTCAATAGCGTTTGGCGTGCGATTGATTTTTTTAAGGGACGACAGTCACATTTTTGAGTTTTTTGTACTGACCTGTCAAGATGAAAGTCATTTATTTTGAGTTCTTAAGTTTAGAGTGGTCTGTCGGGACAACAGTCACATTTTTGAGTTTTTTTGTACTGACCTGTCGAGATGACAGTTACATTTCTTTTGAGTTTAGAGTGGCCTGTTGGGATGACAGTCATAAAAAAAGATAGCAAATTAGGGAACATAAATTTTATTTATCCCGAATCTGCCCTTCACGTGCGCAAAAAGACATTAAAATTTGGTCAGTATTATTGAAAGTTTAATTATATCAATATTATATAAATTTTACTTTTTACGTTTCTCTCATGTACTACGGTGATCTACGCATATCTATAGCAGTCAAGGAAAGCTTTCAATTATATTTCGTCCCGGACTTCACGACTTAAACATTTAAAAATCTGACCAGCGACATATTATATCATGCACTACGGATTTTTCAACGATAAGTCATGAAGTCCGTGGTGAAAGCCAGATGATAGGTTTCTCTTAACCGCATCCAGCCGTTACTTTTAGAAAACTTAAATTTAATCGTGACTTAAAAATGCCGAGGTTATGCTAGGTGGGTTTGATTAGAGTGTCCGGACTTACACGATTTCAGTGATTCTTACTGTTTAAACAATGAAAAAACCCTGTCTGGACACTCTAGGTTTAATATGAACTAGTATGTTCTTAATTACGTGTAGAGATGTACATCGCAAAAGATGATATCATTTTCGTGCATATGACCTCACATTTGGCGCGAAGTAAAAAAAAAAGTCTTAGTGGTTGGTGGCTAAAAAAAGCTAGGGCTATCACCAAAAATCAATACTCCAAATTTGCGCTTCGTGAAAAATCATACGATTTGTGGAATGTATGCTAGTTTTACCTCGCGCGAGATACATCTCTGTTTGATCCACAAATCTTGCAGCTAGATAAGGATAAGTCTTGACAACTTTAAAATTATTTTTACTAATCAAAGCTATTCTAGATCAACGGCTTATAAGAATCTGATATTTTCTGTTTCTAAAAGTGAAATTTCCGAATTACAGAATTTATTTCCCTTGGCAGAAAATGCGCTGATACGATTTTATTACTACTGTACTGTATATTTTTCTTTCTCAATATTTTTAGTTAAAATTTATTACTTAATTAATGTATAATTTTTTTTATTTCTTAGTAAAAGTTCTGCATGAAGAGTTGTTTGTCGCTACTAAAAATACTAGATAATTCTTTAACCTTTTACCCTTTAATAAATAATTAATAAAGTCACCTGTATAACGATCGCTTGTTTAACCCTTTAATGCTTATAATATCCTTGAATCGATTAATTATAGATTTAAAAAGCTCTGAAGTGTAGTTTTTCTTAAAGTGCCCATTTCTTCGTATAAAACTCATTAATCTATGTTCTTAAAATAAGATATTCCGTTTTGTTAACATTTGAGAGAAAACCTGTCATCAGACTTTCAATTATATTTTGTGTTCAGTTGGTTCTTTGAGTGCAGTCTAAGGAAAATCTATCAACAGGCTTTCAATTATATTTTGTGACAAATGTAATCGAAAATCCGACGATAGATTTTCCCTGGACGACACTCAGTGAACGACAAGTTTTTACTTGACACTTATTTTTATTCTAGATTTAAGATATAACGATAAATCTCATACTGCAAATCACTGCATTCACATTGAAACAGAATGACCGGCGATCCTTACGAACCTATGTGGGTACAACCTCTATTTGTAAAAATACATACGTACGTACGTACGTACGTCTTCTCGTTCGGATTAAATGTGATCAAAAATAGTCAAAGCCTATTGAATTCTTGAACGATAGGTATTACTGTAAATATGAAATAAAAATATGGGATGATTTCAAGTATTATTGTTAACAATATATTCTGAATGTCCATTATTGTGGGCAAGCAGATCTAATTTTCAACACAAAAATTCAAGATCATAGTCAAAGGATTATTCATTATGAGAGCTTGACATAGCACAATTTTATTTTCACCAGAAATATACAAATCATAAAAAAAAAACAATTGGGATTAAGGCAACTGTATACATTTTTCGTTATTATTCTACAAAAAAGTAGTACTAATTTAAAATGTAAAATTGAATAATAATTTACTTTTGTAGACTACCTTATAATTCGAATTAAGATAGATTCTAATTTTAATTTGATATTAGAATTATTCTATCTAATTTCTTATTTTACATCAAATCTTTATAATCAGTAATAAATTGTTGACAATATTTTTCAAGTTGATTAGCATTCAAATTTATCGCCAACTGTCTCATAAAACCCACGTTTGACATCGAAACTAGTCGCGAGAGCTTCAACTCCATAAGATCTTTCAAATGGTCTAATTCATAAGAATTTGCCAACTTTAACAAATCTTCATATATTATCATTTCCAAAGATGGGTTTATCTCAATCCCATTTAAACTTTGAACCGCATATTCGATGCTCTGGCCATATAGATAACGTAGCAAGATGCGTACCGAGTTTGGATTGACATCTTCAATCACAATCGTAACTGGATTGACCGGACTTGATACCGCAAAATCTCTTGACGTGAATTTTTCACGGAAAAAGTTTGAGCTTGCTGCAAGCATATATCGATTTGTTCTTATAATTTCTCCACTCACATTGAAAACTACATCATGTAAGAAAGTTGCCTGATCTTGATTCAACAGAAATTCAAACATTGTATTGGTAAAATTAAATTGATCATGCAATCTAACATGTATCTCTACATTCGGTGGTTTTATTTCTCGGACATTTGCACATTTGAGCATATTAGAAAATTTGGAAAGCGTTGGACTGACATACTTCCTTTCTCCTGGCTCACTGTTCAAAACTAAATCATTTGCTGAACACCAGTTTTCGGGATCAAATGGATTCGAATTTTTATGAAAATTAAGGAACAATGGTTCGTTTTGTGCAATATATTGGCTTAAATTGAGATCTTCATTTGAACATTCTTCGTCAAGCCACTTGTAAACTTCATAAACATTATGTTTAAATGTGTCTCCCCAGTCGTTTTTCCACATCTCATCATTCAATAAAACATCATGCAAAAAGCGTAGATGTTTAACTACTGTAAAAACATCTGGTTTACCAAGTGATGGATATTTTGAGAGCACAAATGGTGGTGGTATGATATCTTCCGCTACCAAAGATTTTTGACTCCATGCGATTTCTTTATATTTAGGAAGAATTATCTCTTTAAAACAATTCAAATCTCTAGGAGGTTTATAATACATTTTATAAGGATCGTCTAAACTTTTTGCAACCGGGACGAATGGAATTCGTTCAACACTATCTAATTTAATATATTGAAAATTATTATAAAGACAATTAACCAAGACAAAGCCTCGATAACGTAAATCGGATGGTGGGTTGCGTTGATTTTGATACTCCTCGATTTTCTCTGCACATTTATTGAATGTCTCTTGGTTGATTCTATTTTTATATCCAATAGCTG